ATGTGATAAATGAAATGAGAAAACAAAACAAAGTTGCAATTAAATGAAGAATGGCATTCAAGTGTGGCTTGGAGGGCAAAAGATAGGGTAGCACTGATTTGTTATGAAGTACCCACAACAGAGGCAAGCTGGGTAGCACAGTGGATAGAGCCCCGAGCCCGGAGTCAGGAAAACCCAAGTTCAAACATGGTCCCAGGCACTTACTAGCTAGGTGACCCGGGGCAAATGACTTAACCTCTGCTTGTTTCCTCAACTGTAAAATGGGGATAACAACAGCAACCACCTCCTAGGGTTGTAGTGGGGATCACATGAGAATATTTGTAAAATGCTTAACACAGGAACATAGTAGGTACTTAATAAGTGTTTGTTCTCCATAGCAACAAGAAATGTCCTTTCATGGGACACTTTAGTCTTTTTGTCTTGCAGTGCTCTCAATGAACATGAGTTTAAAAAAAAAAAGACTACCATGAAATCAATTACAGCTTATGGGCCAGTACCTATTGCAGAGAATGAAGAGAGAGAAACTACTAAGAAATTAACAAACTCCACCAAGTAAGGCAACATACACTTTGATGCTCAATTATTTTAAAGGGTGCAAGAGTGGGGGGTGGGGGGAAGTGTGAGAGAATGGAAAGGGAAAAAAAAGTACATGGCTCAGGTGTGGGAAACCAAAGACACCACAAAAGTATATATCCTTTTCAGAAGCCACATATTGATAAATACATTTTTTCCAGATGAGACTTAGAAGGTAAATGTGAATATCATAACCAAAAACACCCTGACTATGCCTTTAAAGACTGAAAACAAACTGTTTACTAATACTGAAGCTTTGTCCAAATAGCTTCCCATGTGCACTCAGACCACAGACTAGGCATGTTGTTGTTGTTCAGCCATTTCCGTTGTGTCTGACTCTTCATGACCCCATTTGGAATTTTCTTGGCAGAGATACTGCAGTAGTTTGCCATTTCCTTCTCCAGCTCACTTTACAGATGAGGAACTGAGACAAACAGGGTGAAGTGACTTGTCCAGAGACACACAGCTAGTAAGTGTCTGAGTCCATATTTGAACTCAGGAAGAAAAGTCTTCCTGACTCCAGGCCCAACACTGAGACACCTAGCTTCTGCTAGGTATATAGCAAAAGTAAAAAATCATTACTAAATCAGGCAGATAAAGATGAAATGAAACTAAGAACATGTACAACAATCCACCCATCTCATTCAAACAAGCTGCTGACGCTGGAAAAAAGAGAACTTAAAAATGCAAGGATGTTTGCCCTTGATTATCCCCATTTCTTACAAAAGCTTCACCGACATAAAAAGCAGTGGCCACAATTAGATTCCCAAAGCAGTTCAGAAACCACCTTAGCCAGCAAATACTTGGTCTACTTGCCAAGGAAGAAAACCATGATAACCAAGGGCAATACTGATTTAGACTAAAAACTCATTTGTAAAATACTATGTAGTGTAAGGGCTGAAACCTACAAACAGTAGTTAACACTCCATAAAACAGCAAAAGAAAACAAGCAACAGAAACAAAAACATTTCTACAAAAAACACTTGGTATGAGAACCAAATGAACCATACCATCCAAGAAGCTTTCATGAATTAAACTTGCAGAATAACAACAAACAGGCCTAAAATGGAATAGATTTTAGAAACTTTAACCTATCTTTATCAGTAAAACCACATCAGGACTCTAATACCTCAGTTACCCATGTGCTATATATAAGGAATCTGAAATTGTCATTTAGAAGACAGTTAGGAAGAATGGCTGAATCTTCTAGGTTGAATCTGCCCAAGTATACAAGGAAATCTGTTCAGGAGAGAATATATCTTAAAAGCATGGAGGAGCCATCTTATATCATATTTTAAGGAAGGGAAAACACCAAAAGAATGGAGGACAAAAGGCAGCAGCTAGGTGGTGCAGTGGATAGAGCACCGGCCCTGGAGTCAAGAGGACCCCAGTTCAAATTCAGCCTCAGACGCATAACACTCACTAGCTGTGTGACCATGGGAAAGTCACTTAACCCCATTGCCTAGCCAAAAAAAAAAGAAAGAATGGAGGTCAAAAACATACATACACAACTTATATTAATATTAATAATAATTAACATTTATCTAGGGCTTACTCTGTGCCAGATACTGTGCTAAGTGCTTTAAAATATCTCATTTGGTCTTCATAACAATCCTGCTGGTAGGTATAATTGTTATCCCATTTCACAGATGAAGAAACTAAGGCAAACAATGGTTAAATGACTTGCCCAGAATCACATAGCTAGTGTCTGAGGCCAGAGTTGAACTCAAGTCTTCCTAACTCCAGGTCCATCATCCTATCCACTTCACTACTTAGCTACCTAAAAATGTGATCAAGAGATTAATCATTAACTATTGACCTATATCTAACACATGTAATGACGGTTCTCTTAATTTAAAAAAAACATGAGGAAGGAACTTCAGGCAGATTTTAGCAAACTGTCTTCTACTGCAGACCACATATGCACAGTAACATAACTGACAAGTATGGAGAAGACAAGATTCCACTGTGATTATTGAATATAAAATCTTGCCCTGATTAGACCACATCTGGATTTTAGTAGCATTTTGTAATTCTAGGGGTCACATTTTAAAATAGACACTGAAGAACACAAAAATATTTCAGAGAAATAGACAGCTAGTACTCAAAATAACATCATACAAGCAATTGGTTGACTGACCCAGGGATGTTTAGTCTAGGACAAAAGAAGATAACTGAGGAGAGAAAGGAAGCAGTCATCAAATATATGGAGGGTTATCATCTGTAAGGGAAATAGACTTGTTCCATGTTTCTCCATAGGCCTAGACCACACAAGCAGCTTACTAACAATTATAGGTATATAACAAGGAAAGAGGCTGCCTCACAAAATAGCATGGAAGTATTTAAAAAGACAAATACATAAAGACCACTTCAGTGAAACCATGTCTGAGGTCTCTCTTCTACCTTCAGTAATCTCTGATTCCAACTCCAATCCTTCCCAACTGATACTGCTGCCCTCTCCCTTCTTGAGACTCTTGTCTCTTTGCGTCTAGGTAACACGCTCTTGCTCTCTAGCTATTCCTTCTTTATTTCTGCTTCCTCCTCTATCCCCATGTTCATTTTCCCTCTCTCTCATCACCCATTTTGGTGGCTTCAATTACACAGATGACTCCTGAATCTCCACGTCCAGTTCTAGTCCCTCTCCAAAAGATCTAGTCCCACATATTTCCACTTGGATGCCCGGCTTTCATGAACAATATGCTATCATGTTTAAAACTAAGCTTGCCGTCATCTTTCTCCAAACTAGCATTCACTCTGGAATTTCCTATTTCTATCATTTGTATTGTCATGCCCCAGAATCACTCAAGTTCAAAGTGCAGGCATTCTCTTCTTCCACATCCAGTACACTCTAAGTCTGGTTGATCCAACTTCTCACTAATGTATATTGAACCCTTTCTTTTTTTTTCCACTCCTGACTCTATCAACCTACTCAAGAGAGCTTGTTGTCCTTCCTCACCAAACCATCCTGCACCCCACTGCCAAATTACCTTCCTAAAACCTAGCTTTATACATCACCAACCTGCTGAAAACTTTCAAAGGCAGCATCATACTGCCTACATAATAAGACCCTCCACCATGGACCCTATCTCCTTCTCCAAGTTTATCTCCCATTACTGCTATTATCCCTCAAAATAGTACGCATTCCTACCCATACCTGGTTGCTGTCCCCTACTTGAAATTCCCTTCTTCATGCCTTCCCATCTAAGTCTTCTACTTCCTTTAAGACTCATAAGAGTCTCATCTTACCTAAAAAGACTTCCCTGACCACAATAACCTACAATCATTTATTTCTCTCCACTGAATTTCTATAATTTATTTATATACACTACCACCACATACAACCTATGCTGCCACATCTCTCAATTTATCTCTTCACTGAGACTGGAAATGCCTTTTTTTTTTTGCTCGAGGCAAAGGGGGTTAAGTGACTTGCCCAGGGTGACACTGAGGCTGAATTTGAACTGAGGTCCCCCCGACTCCAGGGCTGGTGATCATGCCACTCAGCTGCCCCAACCCCTTCTTTTTTCAACTAGACTCTAATTCCCTTATGTGAATTTATCTGGTATATAAATTTGTATCCCAAGCACACAGATAGGTGTCTTGTACTCAAATGTGGGCGATGTTTAATGGACAGTGACAACAACAAAAGGAACTTGTGCTGAAGATACCATATAGGGTATTTCACCTACTTTAGACTGAGCAGCTTGCACTGAAGTTGCCACGAGTCTCCCCTTACCCAAAATATAGAACTAGATTCTCAATTTCATCAACATATAGCTCCTACACTGAAAGGCTCGCTGACATATTTGCCTTGATTAGGATGCTTAGGGAACTTCGAATCTGTCTCCACATGATTGGTTTTATGCTTTGGGGAGGAGAAGGTGGAGTGTAAACCGGTAAGCACTTACTATAAAGCCACGTCTGCCAGGACGCTTCAGAAAGGACATCTGCCAATGCGGTCCATTTTAGGGAGGCGACCACAGGTCTCTTTCCTTGTTATTATTAAAGAAATGGCCTTCTGTCCATCCCTTCCTTGAAAGCTGCCATTTGGACGCCTCTTTCGTCGGGGAGCTCACAACTGATTAGGGACACCCTTAAAGCACAGCTGGTAAGGCCCTTGGGAGATAAGGAAACTGAGGCCCGGGAGCTAGGGCTGAGCCGCGGTTAAGCCCACGGAAGGGGCACAGCGGGGGCCGGAATGCAGGCCCCCCGACCTCCCGGGCAGCGCCCTCCACCCAGCACGCTGCCCACCTAGGCTTCCTCTCCGGCGACCATCCCGCCTCCCAATGCCGGCGCGCTCCGGGGCAGCCCCGCTCCCCCTTCCCCCGCACCCGGGAGAGCACCCCTCGAGCCCCGCGCTCCTCCCTCCCTTCCGCAAAGGCCGGAAAGGGCACACAGGACCCTCGGGCGCCCCTCACCCCCTTTACCTTGTCCTCCGCCTCCGGCCGCCCGTCGGACTCGTGGACTACCCTCTGCCTCAGTTCCGTCATTCTGGGGACGCAATCCTCCCTCGGGCCCCCGCCTTCTCTCCAAGAACGCTCTTTCCCTGCAGCCAAGCAGGAGTCTCGGGGCCCCCGCCTTCTCACAACCCGCCCCTCGGAGGGCGGACCTTCCCCACCGCCCGCCTGGGCCTCAGCAGAGCCCCCGTCGCCGCCCCCAGCTGGGCTGGAGAGCAGCTTCCTCCGGCGGGGCTCGGATCCGCTCAGCAGCCCCCCCCCCGCCCGGTGCAAATGAAAAGCGAAGCGAAGCAAGAGATGGAGAGAAAAAAGCTACGCAACCGAAGCTCACGCGAAGATACCCCCCAACGACAGCAGCCCCGCTAGGGTCTTTCGGAAGCTGCTTTTGCAGCGGCTCCGCCCAGATCCGAGACGCGGGGCACCCGCCCCCTCCACCTCCCCCGGGTCGGCCCCGCCCCGGACCGCACCCCCTCCTTCAACCCAGGCCGGGCGCCAGGCCGCCACTTCCTCTCCTCCCCTCCAGAGGGAGCCCGCGGGCGCAGGGCGCGGGAGCGCGCGAACAAGCGCGGGCCCGCCGGCCGCCAATCAGCCGAGTCACGCCACTTCGGAGGGCCGGGAGCTGGGAGACGAGCTCCCATTGGCTACCTGGCTCCTCGGAGAGAACGCCGAGCGGGGCTTCTTAACCTGGTTTACGTCATGAACCTTTAACAGCCTTTAACAGGCTAATGAAGCTCATCGGCTTTCTCAGAAGCTTGGTTTTGGAGGCATAAGATTTCAGGGGAAACTAATTCTATTGAAAGAGTAATCGAAATATTGAAGGCAAAAAAAAAGTTTATAGACCCAGGTTAAGAACCCCTGAGTCATAGAGAGAACAGTAGAATGTAAACTCCTCGAGGGCAGGCATTACTTCATTTTGGTCGCAGTATCCCTAGCACAGTGCTTCAGGCATCGTTCAAGAATAAACGTTCCTCGAATCAAAGGGACTTAGCGGTTTGGAGAGCAGAAGGAAGATGACTAGAGAAAGGGGGAGAGGGAGATCGAGGCTGAAGGATAAACAACGGCGGGGCGGGGCCGCAGTGTACTTAAGAGGAGAGTTCGCCAACAGCCGGGGGCGTGCCGGGGGGGGTCCTCTGGGATCCGGGGAGAAGTGCGCCCACTCCGCCGCGGGCAGAATGGGCCGTGCCGGAAACTGGCGGCCAGGGGCCCTGTGCGCACCCTGGGGAGGGAAGCGGGGCTGGCGGGCCGGCGGGCTCGGCTCCTAGCCGGCGGCTGGGTGACGTGACAGTTAAGCTGGGTTTTCCCGCGCCGCTTCTGGCCACGGGTTTTGATGGTAATGCGGAGCCCCTCCCCCACCCAGCCTTTGCCTCTTCCCCTTCCCCCCGCGATTCTCCCTGGCCCGCCCCATCCACCCCCAACTCGAGCTGTTCGCAAAAGCCGGGGGCGCTTCCAGGATGAGTTGTGACTGTGATGCACGTTACCTACCCAAGCCTAGGTCGTGGCCGGAGTCCGAGACCCCTTCACTCCAGCCCCCAGCCCCTCTCCGAGGTTCTCCTAGTGACCAGTGGCCGAGCCCGAAATTGGAAAGGGAGGAAAGGGGAGTGTGGCTGGTTCCGCCTCTCTAAGGCAGCCTCCCCTGTTCTGTGAAGCAGAAAGTGAGCAGACTTAACATCCGAAAGTACAGTTCGATGCTACTTGTTTCTGTGGGTGTGCTAGTTAATGTTTTAACAACCAGCACCCAGGGGTTAAAAAAATACAGGCAAAACGCTTCAAAATTTAACTATTAACAATTTTCCACCACTTTCTTAAGTCCACAGAATAAAACAATTTGTAGCCTGATTTTCTTTTTATGGATATCAAGAAGCATTTATTATTGATTTTGTTGTTCAGTCCTGTCTGCCTCTGCGTGACCCCTTTCGGGGTTTTCCTGGCAAAGATATTGGAATGGTTTGCTCTTTCCTCATCGTTTTGCAGATGAGGAAACTGAGGTAAACAGGGTTAAGTTACATGTCCAGGGTCACACAGCTACTAAGTGTTTGAATCGAATTTGAACTCAGGTCTATCCTGATTCAAGGCCTAGCATTCTATCCACTGAGCTACCTAGCTGCACCTTATTGTGTATATAGCTTGGTTTGGTTTGGGTTCTATCTCTTGCTCAGCTCCCATTAATGTGCTGATTTTTGAAGTATAAATGCTTACACCAAAATTTTAACAAGCTGGTAAGAGCTAGCCCCAGCATACCCCTGACCCATTTTCTCCTCTTTTGAGTTCCTTGCGAGCAGGAACTGTTTTAGGTTTTTTGCCTTTCACTGTATCCGCAGAGTTTAACATAGAGCCTGATATATATAGTAGGCACTTAATAAATGCATGTTGTCTGACTGTGATATGCTGGGATTACAAAGATGAATGACAGAATCTCCAAGTTGGAAGTGACCTCACCTAAGTTCAGTGTATACTTGGACAAGAATCCCCTCTACAATAATTCACTATTTAAAAATCACTGAACTAGTTGGTAAACATCAGAGTTCCTGTGCTCAAGAGGGTTAGTTTATACTGGAGGGGAAAAGATATAAGATAAACACAGTATAAAAGTGTGCAAGAATGGTAGGAAATGATGAAGGCAAAAGACAGACAGTGCTGTAGGAGGAAAAACTATTTCAGATTGAAGGATCCGGAAAGGATTCACTTCACAGAGATCCTTGAATTAGGATTTGAAAGGAAGAAAAGAAAATATGAAGATAAGAAATCAATGCATTCCAGAATGGGCCTGAATACTCAGGGATGACACTGGAGCTGGAAATGAGAGCCATCTGAGTCATCTGCATAGAGATAATAGTTAAACCCTTGGGAACTGGAGAGATGACAAAAGAAGCTAGAACCAAAACTAAACTATGCACAATAATAAATCCTTGTTAATATCAATCAACAAGCATTTATAGTGCTTCCAATATATCAAGAACAGTGCTAAAGATTGATGAGACAGGAAAAAAAGGAAAAGGCTTTGCCCTCAGGGAGCTTACATTCTATGAATGAAATAAACATGTACATATATAGAAAGATCCAAAACACATACAAGGTAGTTCCTGGGGAAAGGCATTTTGCTAGGAGGATTGAGTATGGCCTTATGTAGAAAGGGGTAGCCGTTAAGTGGCTCAATAGATAGAGTACTGGGCCTGGAGTCAGGAAGATCTGAGTTCAAATCTAGCCTCAGACACTAGCTGTGAGACCCTGGGCAAGTCATTTTACCCTGTTTGCCTTAGTTTCCTCATCTGTAAAATAAGCTGGAAGAAAAAATGGCAAACCACTCCAGTATCTTTGCCAAGAAGTGACACATGAGCTGAGTTTTGAAGGAAGCTAATGATTCTAAAAAGCAAAGCTGAGGTAAAAAATTACCTTTTTATCCCTAGAGGACAACTTGTACAAAGGTACAGATACATGAGCTAGAACGTCATATGAGGAACATATATTATTCCTCAGATACTGTTCCTGGTTCCAAATTCTGGTTATTTTGACACCACTGCTCATTCTCCCTTACAGTATGTTAGTAGCATTTCTACAACTTAATTAGAGGTCAATTCCTCTGGTTCCTCCTAGACCACAACCCTAAGTCCACAAAGATTTGGGAGGAGGAAAATTTTAGGAAGGAGTCTATCCACAAGTATTTATTTTCCTAGCTCTCTGCTAGGAGCCGGGGATACAAAATGCAAAGACTGAAACAATCCCTTCTCCCAAGGAGCTTATGTGGGGAGCTTCTAATGGGGAAGTCAACAAATACATACTGGCCTTATAGATGCCATCAATATGTAGTGATCAAAACAAATAAATACAAAGTAGTCAAATACAAGGTATTTAGTGGAGGGAGGGCACTAATCCTAGTGATTAGAAGGGATAAGGAAGGCTTTCACATGGAAAACAGTGCTTGAGCTTAAAGCAAGAGAGGGACCCTGAGGTAGAGCTAAGGAGGGAATGCATGCCAGGGACATGGGACTGCTGGTGCAAAGGCATGGAAATGAGAGATGGGCTATCTCTCTATAATAAATAAAAAGAAGGCAAATTTGACAGAAGTAAAGTCCGATAAGGCCAGAAAGATAGGTTGGAGCCAGATTGTAAAGGGCTTTTAAAAGCTAAATAAAGGAACAACAACAAAAAAGCAGTAGAAAGCCACAGTACCATAGTAGCTGATTAACAGATCACATGGCCAAGAAGCTGATACAATAATCTGGGAAGGAGAGGGGAGAATAAGCATTTGTATAGTTCCTACAATCTGCCAGATACTGTGCTAATTAGCCCTACTAGATAGATGCTATTATTAGCTCCATTTTACAGATAAGAAAATTAAGACACTTAAGTGCCTTGCCCAGGATCATACAGCCAATCATAATAATAGCTAACATTTATATAGGGCTTACTATGTGCCAGATGCTTTACAAATATTATCCCATTTGATCCTCAAAACAATCCTAGGAGATAAGCACTATTATTATCATCTCCATTTTACAGATGAGGAAACTAAGGCAAACATAGTACCTAAGGTCACACAGCTAATAATTCTCTGCATTTAGATTGGAACTCAGATCTTCCTGATTCCAGGCCCCGCACTGGTTCTTTCCAAGACATATCAACCTCAATATGTCTGAAACTGAACTCATCTTTCTCCCCAAATTCTCCCCTCTTCCAAACCTCACTATCTCTGTTGAAGGCACCAGCCTCACAGGTTTGTAAACTCCACGTTATCCTTAACTCCCCATTCTCCATTATATTTATCTATCCAATCAGTTGCCACATCTTGCCATTTCTACCTCCAGAACATTGTTTCTCTTCAGACTACTCTCCACTCACACAGCTACCACATCAACCTATGTCTGTGGTAATTAAACTTATGAGAACTGATGAGGTTCCCGAGAGAATGTAGAGAATACCTCACTACTCGTTGCCTTCAGAGCCTGTGGCCTTTCAGATGCACTGAGTTGTATGTGCTAAGAGTTGGAGATATACAGACTAAAGTGAAAATGGTCTCTGAATTCAAAGATCTTATATTCTACCATTGGGACACAGATATTCATTAACCAGAATGTGTCCTTCTCTTGGGCTGACTTTTATCTGCTGGGTGGCCTTCTGGTGAGAAGGGAAAAACAGGCC